GAATTTCTCACATATTTGTATTTCACCAGCAACCTCTTTAGTTTCAGTCAAGTCTCTTCGTCTTGCTTACTAAGATATCTTATTTTTTTTCCAGGTATTTTGTGGTCTATATGCATATTGGTATACAATGACCCCTCGTGAAAGGTACCAGCAACAGCACTGTGTTCAGCACACTTTGCTGCCTGGGAGGGGATGCTCTCCTCTCTGCTCACCTCAGCAAAGACAGCAGAGCTTTGGCAGGGCTTAGGGGGTGCTGAGAAAGGTCACAAGAGTTGCTGTTCCTAAAACGTGTATGTGACAGGAGGCTGGTGACCGAGTGGTGTCCTTACAGTTGGGGGACCAATGGCTCCATTCAGATCATCTTTTGGAGATCATGAGAAAAATATGATGCTACTTGTTTTCAACAAAAAGTTTGAAAGTGAAATTTTTCATAAAATCACAGACTTTTCATTCAAAAATAACTTAAAAAGCTTTTGGAGGGCTCCTTGGGGCACTGGGGACAAGAGCATCTTCATGGACACCCTCCTTTGGGGCAACCCTGCAGAGGGGCAAGGCCACCTGACAGCCCTTCTCCAGAACACACTGAGAGCTGGCTGCAGGTCTGGACACTGGGCAAGGTGAAAAAGCACAAATTGATAAGGGAAAAAGTCAGTTTATTTCATCCCTTTTGGGTGTTGTGGAAGAATGCAGACTGACAAAACTAGAAACCACTCACTGGTGCTTACAACAATGCTGCAGCAAAGATGAGGGTTATGGGGAAACTGATCATGCTGCACCATCACCCTACACAATGCTTGGCCTGGGGAACCTCCAAGGAGGAGGACAGGAGCTCAGGAAGCAACAGGGATGGGAGCTTTGGCTTCCCTTCTAGCTGCAACTAAACTTTTTCTCTCTTGGTAATAGTATTTGATCATCAGAAAGATGAGAGGAGTTAAAAAAAAAAATCACTGACTTTTCAATAAAGTTGATAGTCCTTATATGTTATTATTCATCTTTCAAGTCATGCCAGGCGCAAACCCCCACCCCATTATCTAGGCAGAAAGGCACTTGGGTACAAGAGTTTCAAGTAAAAGTCTTTCTTCTTTGTCCTGTTTTTAGAGCTACTAGCATGAGTTACATGGGCTTACCCCAGGTGAAAGCATGGCCTGGCCCCAGTGGATGCTCGTGCTACAGTACACTGCAACATGTCTGGATATATTGCAAGGATGTGAAATTCCTTCTACCTTCCTGACTTTTCCAATATGGCATGCAACTCTCTGTTTTGTTTAATGAATACTATATAGGACTTTTTTTTTTTTAACTAAACCCTGCTTTTTGCTTATGGCCAAATTCATGAAACTGCAATGAAGAAAAATGAACCCGCTGAAGGGGATTGACCCCAAATGCTCAAGACCAGGTCTTTCAAGACTAACGAGAGAGTTTGCATTTGCTTTTTCTGCCAGATCTCTTTCCTGAGGGCACACTGCATAATGCAAAAAGAGCTATGTGAAGTTTGGCTCAGAGGGTGAAAATAGGACCATTCGGTTGTTTTACAGAGAGATGAGGTTCCCTTCCCCTTCCCCCTCCACACGTTTTTCACTGTAAGCGAAAATGAAACTTGTGCTTTTCTGAGGAAATGGCTGCTAAAGGTTAAAGGGTAAGTCTTCCTTGCTGCAAGCATACATTTTTGCAAGCTGAATCTTATCCATGTGGCCAGCAGCACTCACACTGCAGAGAGCTTGGAAGAAGAGTAGAGAAATAGAGGGCAAGAGCATCAAAAGAATATCCCCAAATCGATTCATCTGCTCTTTTTTATTCCTTCATTTGAGTTCTGGCCACCTCCTTTCCCCTATTACACATTCCACTTCAGAAACAAGATCATTATTTGGAGGTGGAGGCCATGCAGCTGCGCCAAGAAAGGGCAGTTGTGCAAGGAAGTGAGAGCATCTCTCCAGGGCTGCCATGTGGGCTTCCCTATCACCAGGGCAGGTGAATTTGGGGCAACAGGTAACTGAAGCCTTGACTCCTTGCCCTGCCATGCCAACCAATGACCATATTTGTGCAGCTGAGGTACCCACATAGAAACAATGTCACACATCACAAGTCACTGGGAAAAGAGCAGAGGGAGGAAGGAGGCAGCTGTTGCCCCCTTCAGCTCACCTCTCTGCCTGCTTTTGTGGTGAGAGTGGTCATCATTTGGCTCTTGGGTTTTTTTTTTTCTGGTGAAGGAAGCCACAGTGACACAGTATCTGAATGGTCCTGAAAGTAACTTCTTGGGCATTTGGATATATTCCGCTTAGTGCTACGCTCCTAGGAAATTTTCGACCCCAAGCAAATACAGTCATTAGTATTCATGTAGAATTGAGAATATTCCTGGTAACAGCCTATTAAATACAAAATAGGATGAACAGAAGTCCACTCAAAAACACACCTTCCAGCAGCATATAGTTTGCAGAATGTAAATGTGGGCAAGATCGACTGTATTGACACAGGACGTAAATGGAGAGCAATAGAGCACAAATGTATCTATAAAAATGTACAACAATTTAGGTTTAAATGAAGATATTTAAAGTTGATACAAGATAGCAAATCCAGACTTGAGAAGGAATGTCAGCATTTTCCTCTTATTCCCTCTCTCCTGCTTATCCCTTAAAACCAAATACTGAATAAACACGTGGGGAGGTGGTGATGGGGATTGGTATGTTTAACCAAGGAAAACTGAAGTCTCAGTGAAGCACTTTTCCAAAGGATGCAGGGTGGGACAGAGAGAGGGATGGCTGGGAAATGGTTATGGCCAAGATCAGTTTACAGAAGGCTGCAGGTGCCAAATCTCCTCTGGAGAGGTCCCCCAGCGACCCCAGGGCAACAAACTGTCCAGCAGCTGCACCTGGTCCTTTGGGGCTGGAGACCTGCCTCCCTGAGCAGCCCCCATGCCCCAAAACTGTGCAGCAAAAGTGAAACATCACAGGATTGGCTGTTGCTGGTTTGAGGTTAGTCCTACTCAAGAAAGACTATTTTAATTTCCTCCTAAGAAAGCTGAAATGGCCCAAGCTTAAGAAGCTCCCTGTGCTTGTTCTGTGAAGCACCTCTTTTTGAATAAATTTTGGTTTTGTGGTATATCAATAAGAGCAAGTCAGGGGAAATAAAAAAAGGCAACTCGAGGGTTTTTCTGAGTCCAGACTTTCTGTTACCCAAGTCAGTTAATGGGCTATGTGGGCCCAAGTTCAGCTTTCCCTGACACTGCTGTGCCTTTTTGCCTCTGACCTCGATGGAGCTTGCTTTGATTTACCAGCCACTGTCAGGTGAGAATGAACCTCCAGATACACACTCAGCATTTCTCCACTTTGCTGTGGCCATAGATGCACATCCACTTTCTCTTAGCATTGTAACATATGCTTTGAATTTGTGTGAATTTTCACTGAACTTTATGCCTCAACTGTCACAGATGTGATTTCAAAGATTACCGGAAAAGGGTCTGCACAGATTTCAGCTCCTCCATGATATGCAAACAAAAAATCCCACTCAGTAGTAATATCAAGAACCTAAATTCCAACTTATCCCATGAAGCCAAGATACCTCTAATAAGGCCAGAAACATGTCTGAGTTAGTCTACATTAAATATGAAGTTGTGTTTGATATTGGACATTCTTAACATGCACTATCTTGATGTAGCCTCCTGAATGTTTTGGTAAGTTTCTTGGGTATGTTGAAATATCTGAAGGAGACATTATGATCAGCCCAAAGTCATTGGATGATGTGCCCTAAAGGGTCAGAAACAGAATCTTTTTTTTTCCATGACAAAAGGAAGTATTGCATAGCCTTTTTTGATACTACAGATTCCCTTTCTTCCTACAAAGATGTAATGAAGGCCAATTATCGGCATTCAGTCTGCTGCATAAAAATTGTGTGCGGGATAAAAAACTTTTCCACTCAAAAGATGAGGACACAGAAATGGTGGTCTCTTCCATACTTTTCTGTTAGCTGTGCTCAAACATGAGAGCTGTGCCAAGAAGTTTTGAAGACAGATACTCTCATGCTCTGCCTGTGCAGTGTGTAGGGCACACAAGTCTTGATCTGTCCCTCTGGTTTCTGGGTGCAAGTGGAAAGCAACAGGAAACAGGTGAATGAAATGTGACTTCAGCCAGGGTCTTCCTGAGCTCTTGTTTTGGAAGGAAATTTGAAGATGGCACATCAGCCTTTGCCCTGACTGTACTGATGGGTGTCTGGGTATCAGTGGCATCAGTCACTAGTGTGTGTCCATGCTTCATCTGAAATTTCCCTCCATGACAAACCTCTGTCTTTTTCACTGCATATTTGAGTTTCTTCAATTTTTCTCAGAACAGAGCTTCCACCAAGTCAGTCCTAGGCAGTATGCAGCCAGTAAGGTGGCTGAAGGCTGCCCAGACTTCTTACTCTTCTCTACTTGTTTCTGGTTGTTTAGACTCGGTCTTGTCTCTCCACTTATTTGTTGTTTCTGTGCAAGTTAAATTGAGTGGCCTATCTTATAACTGCCCGGATTCAGTTTTGCCCTTTTTTAACACTTTCCCTGCCTGATGAAGCCTCTGCTCACAGAAGTACCTTTTTCCAGAGCCCCTTTCCTGTAGAGTAACTCTAAGGGGCAGTGTACATACTGCAACTGCGATAAATAAACACATTTCCAAGAATATATACACTTCCAAGAAAAGCGTGAAGTTGTTGACAAAAATTTCATATAGAGTATTAGAAAATATATATCAAGGTCTACTTCTATAAAGAAGAAAAATAAATACACTGAGATCTCTACTGAGACCTCTAGTAATTCCCCTTTTTTCCCTTTACCTCCAAAGGCAGATGAAGAGCCAGTCCAGGAGAAAGACATTCTAAGAAAAAACAGTTATGTCCAAAGGCCAGGGCTGTACATTATTTATAATGTGTAAAAAGCCTATACACTTGGTTATCACTAGAACCTGTCTGTTTGGAGATGGGGTATCATCATCTATGGCTCTATAAGCTAACTGATGGTCTTCCTTGCATTTTAATAGCTGCAGCTGATGTATAACTGAAGGGAACACAAATGTCTTCATTCTCTGCCCTGTGAATCACCTGCACAGAGGAATAACAAAAAATACCTCTATGTGGTAGTCCCAGACACCAACCACAGTTACCAATTAAAGGTTTGAAAGTAAGTACTAAATTTTCTGTTAAGTTATATGCCACTCTTTACATACAGAAGATATATCACAATGCATTGTTTTTCAAAAAAAAAGAGCATAAAGCTCTATGTTACTCTTGCAGCTCTTTTGTGACAGAAAAATGTAATCCTCTGGGAAAGAGCGAAGCTGTTCAGAACCTGTACAGGGAGTAAGGGGGTCAGGCTGACAGCAGAGGATGGGAGCAGATAAGACTCCCTCCAGGAGAGGTTCTAGACGGGGCAGGGGAAGGGATTACATTAATCCCTGTCCCACTTACAGGCCCCACTGGCCTTCAAAAGGTATTCTTGAGCTGAAGAGATGAAAATATGCCTAGTGTTGGATCTGTTAAGAGGCTCTTCATAAAATGTCACAGAGCTGGTTTAGAGAAAATGGATCCACTTCCTTTCATCTGCCTTGAGGGTTTTGGCAGTTGTTGGGGCTTGAGAGTTTGCAAATGGCAAGAAGAAAGGCTCTAAAGTGGTAGAAGTGGGAAACAAATGCTGCTGATGCTGCTATGCTTGCAGCCAGCCCTGCACTAAGGTTTCATTTCTGTGACAGGAGTCTTGCAAAGGCCAGCCAGTGAAAAGGAACACAAAAGCCAAGATGTTCCACTAGCTGCTCTCCTCAGTATCACAGACGTCTTTAACCATAAACCAAAACCTTTTGCTATGATGAGCATCCACTATGCAAAGCAATTTCCATGTCTTCCCCTTTGCCCAGGAGTGACAGAATGATCCCTTGGTATGACATCTTGGTCAAACTTTATTTTGACATTTCTAAACCCACTTCCTTTAAAAAAAATCTAAAAATTTCAAAGTACAAATGCAGGTAATCATTTATTTAACAGGCCAGATTTTAAGGCAAATCACCTTAAAGAAAAAAAAATGCCACAAAAAAAACCCCAGACAAAAATCAAACAAAACTTCAGAACTTGCAGTGTGGTTATTGCTTTACAGAGTGTTGCTGGCACAAGTCATTTTAATATGCAACAATAAAGGAGGAGGTGTGAGAACTATTGCACTATGATTTGTAGATGGCTGCTTGGCCACAGGTTGCTGCAGGGAAGGGGTTCTGCGAACAGCCTCCCCCTGGTTATTTGGAGCTGGGGCTGAGGGCAGTGCTTTGCCAGGCAGGCCCTGAGTTACAACAGAGCTCTGGGCCACATGGTATCATCTCTATTTACAGAAGTTGGTGGACTTTCCTCCACAGCTAAATAGGCTGACAGCCTTAGAGATTGGCTTTGAGTTTTTGGTTTGAACAAATCAATGAACTACAAGGAAAACTACAAAAACAACTACAAAAGAAATGGTTTCTGAATGTTACCTGAAAAACCACACAGTTTCAAAAGAAAAATCTCTAACAAAAAGGATACCAGGAGCAAGACAAGGGAAGAAGTTCCTCCTGCAGTACACAGATCAGTGCAAAACCACAAAACATTCTGATAATGAGTGACTATTTATTGCATACTGGCATATATCTATTCTGGACAGAAAGAAAGACTTGCTGAGAGTCACTTTTAGGCCGTTTCAGTCCCTCAATAGAGCTGCCAAATAATTTCTAATGAAACTCAGAGAGACTGTGGTTTTTAAAGCTGTGTTGTGACCCACATGTGTGCTAGCCCCAGAGGAAGAGGATGGCCTGAGTGAAGCCTAAGTGAAGTAAAATGTCAGTAGGAAGGTGCAGAGGGAATTTCAGTTTTCACCATCAACCTTTCAGCCTAATTACATTTAACTCACATGTGACCAACCCTGCCCCATGGAGGGCTACTGCAGAGAGGGGGCAGAGGAGAAAAATGTGAAGGTGATTAAACATGAACAAACAAATGTTAATTACTAATGATTCCTACTTCTTACGCAACACAGAAAATAGAGAGTACTGTACAAGCATTGACTCATCAGTGATCTAATTAATGATTCAAGATCCCAAATCAACAACCAGAATACAAGGACCCCACTGGAGCCTTGCTGCTGCAGAGGGGCCCCATGAGCCCATAGGGCATTGCCCCCCACACAGAGGCTTGGGGAGCAGCATCCAAACCTGTCCCACCTACCAGCACTGGGCATTGCACGTGCACGGTGCCACCACATCCTTTGATAACATTTGGGTGGCAAGTTGATGAGACAGAACAGGTTCTGAGAAGCAGCTTCGGTGGGTTTTCAAAGGGTGAAAGCGGCAAGTGGCCAAAAACACAAACAAAACAACTCTTATCTTAAGGATAATGTATAAGACATTTGCTTAAATTCTCATTTGTCTGGAAAGCTACTTAATGCTGCATTGGCACTGCTGGTCAGTGAACACTAGAGGTTCACAAACCAAGTAGACAGATGGACTATAAACATCAGATGCTCAGCCATGTGTGCTGGGAGAAAGTCCCATCAGGTCCCTGAGAGAGCATTTCTCTGCTTATCCCTGCCCAGCACTGATACCTGGAACTGAGGCCAGTGCTACCTCAGTGAGGGGGCCAGGGCTGATCGATGCAAAGGGAATTAACTTGCTGAGCTGATTACAGATCCTGCCACAGGTTTCTGAGGATTCTGGCCTGTATCCAACCCAGTGAGAAATGCTTTGCCTAGTTTCACTTGGGTACAGTAGGTTTGCATCCAGGCTGAGCTTTAGCCACTGCAGAAGGGGCTGTGAGACTCGGAGCTGTAAAGCAGCTGCTGGTGGACTTGGTTCTCTATTGCCACAGCTGCAGGGAGGAAGGAGGTCAGCACAGCGCTGCCACGTGCAGCCCTGACACCCTCCTGCTCTCACCTCATGCCCAGGGCAGCTCCTGCAGCTGTCTGAGCCTGGCTCTTGGCTAAGCTTCCCCACTGCAAAGTGTTTGGCTGGTACAAAAGGTGTTCCCAGATCACTTTGTTCAGGGCTCACAATAACAGAAGGGTCATCAGTTTGACTGATAGACAGAGTATACAAATTCAAGCTATGCAAGAATAAAGAGTTTATTTTACAACAATTAGAGAGGTTGTGGTGTTATATAACCTAAAGCTGGGCACCTTGACAAGTTAACACTTTCTACAATAATATTATTTTAAATTATATTTTCATATATTTTGAGATGGTTAAGTCTGGTTTGCATGGAACAGCAGGTATTTCAGGTTTTTTGAAAGGTTTGTTGTGCGTTTTCATACCTTGAAAAATAGGCTAAGTTTGTATGTCAAAATGAAGTCATATACATCAAAGAGTATTTTGAGTTTTCAAGTCTGAGGTCCAAATTCATTACTGGTGTAACTGCTGTAGAGGTAACCAATAATCTGACCCAGATTCTGGACTTTAGACAAAGTTTATCATCCCCGAGGATTATGTAGAGTTTACTTATCAGGAGGAAAACCCAATCACCTTTCTCTGCCCCTTGTCTAAGGAGTGGACTTTGCAGCCACATTTAGCAGTGGATACCTTGCCTGGGAAATGTCTCGGCATGACGTATAATAAATGGGACTTGCTAAATCTGAGTGCTGGGAAGCAATTGAGCTGCTTTGCTTCTCTGTGTAGAGGCATATGTGAACAGGCTGAGTGTCACTGAGATTTGTAGAAAACCAAAGCTTGAAACTCTATGGTTTATAGTTTACTGATGTGAGTTCCTGCTTTTCATTGATCTTCATTCACTAAATCTGGACATTTGACTACTAAAAGAACCAAATAGCTTTTAACCCCATCTTTAACCTCTCTCTCCAGTGCCTATGAAATACATTGTTTTGTTTTAAAGAAGTGATGCAACTGAAGGAGAACCCCTACTTTAAAAGCATCCCAAATATTTTGGGAATTTAAAACCCAGGCTGAACTTGGGTTACATTTGTATCTTGGGCTTCCCTTTATATTTTATAGGGAAGTAATTGTTGCATGTAAAGTGCTTCTACCTCATACCGAGAGTGGCAACATGTAGTGCCTCAACATTTCCTATGAACAATTCCTGTTCATCCTATCTGATGCTTCTGAGGGTCCAAAGCAGGACTGATACTATTATTTCCAAACACAAGGAAAGAGAAATAAAATATCTTAATTGAACTGATAATGAAAAACATACTTCTTGATTTCAAGATATTTAGACCTTCTTTCAAGCTTAGACCTTCTCTCTTCATACAGAAAGTTCTAGATGTGAAATGAAAAGAGCTTGTCTCTGCTGTGTTTCTATGAAAGGATCTAGTCAATCTGCAATGGCATTTTTCTTTTATACTCAGGTATTTTATGTACAGTATTCTATTTTTGGCTTAACAACTTTCCTGTTTAAAGCACTGAGACACAACAGCTAAGCAAAACTGCATTTTGCAGATCCACAAACCAAGCGTTAACATATTGTGGTTGCAGAAAGCATAAAAAGACAGACTAGAGGAAAGGGAAGAATTTTCATTAAGGGATTAATTAGACAAAACAAGGCAATAAAAGAGACTCCAAAAGCCTTGCTCTTAAGAGATTTCCATAACTGTGCTCTTTACAAATGAGTTTAATCACCCAAAGGAAGAACCAACAGGCAGATGAGGAAGTGGTCAATAAGTAACAATAACTGACCACTGCATTACTGGGGTATCTCAAACACATCAGGCCCAATATCCGGACTGCTAAAGTAATGCAATAATGAATCCTGACCCATGTTTGTGTCACTGTGGTGAGTTCCTGAGATCTTGTTCTATTCTGGGGAAAAAACAGTTCCGCTTAGATTTTTCCCTGCCATCTAGGGGCTGCTAACATATATATAGGATGTATATTTTGGAGGTCAAATAAATCAATAAAAATCAAAACAAATCAGAGATATGGTAAACAAAGAGTCTAATGTTATTAACTGAGTGATTTTCCTTTTTTTCTTCAATGCCTGTTCTTCAAAAGCTTTAGTGGCATAAACAATAGAAGAAAAGAAAATGAATATGTAAAGTATCTCATCTCTTCCCACATGTAATAAAATGAAAACAAATGTTCTCCCTTCTACAAACTCTACCACATCAAATTAATAATGGAAAACATCGCATCAAAGCACTCTTTGTGCTCAATAGCCTGTGGCACATTTGGACTCATCAATAGATGTTCAACAATATTACAACTTGTTTAAATCTTGGTAAAGTAGTGTTATGTACTATTGTTATTGACTTTCTTTTTCTAATTATCACCCAAAGGTGACAGATGATACAGCACTAATGATCCGACTGTTTAAGAGCTGAATCAGCTTAGAATCCCACTCATTAAACCTCAGCAGGACTAAAAGATTCCTTGTACTTTAAGGCTAAAACCTTCACACCATTAACAACATTTTGGTCAGCTATCCAGGGGACACAAACAGGGGATTTAAGGTATTTTTCACTGGGAGTATGTTTGGAGCTTTTAAGGATTCTAGTACACATAAATGCCTAAATACTTAAAATTATCTAAAATGTATATAGCTGTCTTGGTAAAGCAAATGTAATGATAAACTTCCTCTTGAATCTATTTAACCTAATAGTAAAACTGTTCTTGATTTTAATAGAAGCTGAAGCCAGTAAAAGTTGCAGAGCCATGGCATTTATTTGAAGCCATTTCTCTCAGTCCACTCAGAGGTGGAGATGCCAGTGATATCTTTGTGGTGTGTACCAATTTACTTAAACCTTACACCAAATTCATTACTTTTTTAGCCGGTTTGACAAAAAAACAAAAAGAAAACAAAACAGTGCTATTCTGACATCTGTTCTAGGAATATACTAGTTTAAACAAGTCTTCTTTCTGTTGCTTCATTGAATATAGGTTGGGAACGATATTCCTGATGTTATCCTCAAGCATGAGAAATGATGGCCGTGCCATTGGAAGGTGGAAGAGATGCAGTGTGACATCCATCTGCCTGTTTGCTCTGGCTTGTGTCAAGTAACCAGACTCTTCCAACACCCATGGAAGTTTTTAACAGGCCCTGAGTACAATAGCATCTTCAATCTCTTACTGATCTTCTACTCTACTACTGATAAACCTGGACTAAAAAATCTCAAAGACCCACAAAATCCGATCCAACTTTCTCACAAACTGATCACCTAAGACAGCAATGAGCATCATTGACAAATCACTATCTCAAAAGCTTGTTTGCAGTTTAAGAATGGTTTGGGTAGAAGAATATTAGCAGAAAACCATAAATGAGAGTTAGTAAAATTCTGATACCAGGACAGTGGCAAAGCCTGTTTGTTTCCCACAAATGCTGTGATACCTCTTGCTCAACAATTATCTGTGCTGGAGGTTTCAGGATGCTCGTGAGATCTTTATTCTCACTCTCACATGTTTTTATAGCCCGTTTGGGACCTTTGTAGACTTATGCTCATTAATCCCCTCATAAAAGGCTCGGGTATCAGGTGCCTCCATGACCAGCATTCAGACCATTTGTGTAATTAGAGAGAAATACCACAGACTACTCTTATTCTCTGTAAAGAAAAGTTGGACTATAAGCTCTGCAGCTCTGACAGCCCATTCCAATAGTGAAGCCACACTGCAAGCACTCCACCCTAGAAGTTTTCTACCAAGTCTTAGGCAAGGTATTGCAAAACTGAAGTCCAGCAGAACTTCAGTCCCAAGTGTTTGCATGGGAAAATACCACCCCTTTGTCTATGAGGAGACTTTTTGCCTCAGTTACACTGATTCAGAAACCACTTTGCAGTACAGGCTCCTCATATGAAAATACTCTCATGCAACTGAAAAATGAAAAACCATTTTTCAGTATTTTGCATTGCTTTAAGTTAACTTGGTAAGAAATAAACTAAGGCAAAATGAGTGAGGAATTAACATCAGAAACAGAGCATCCAAATAAGGAATTCACACAAACTTCAGTCATAACAGAGCTACTTTTTTCTTGAGAAGGTGATCTAGCAGTTCAAAAGTTTCCACTCTATAAATATTTATTGTGTTCTCCAACAACAGTTGAATCAGATTTCTGAAGCTAAAAGTAAAGCTGATGAAGGTCAGACTAAGGGATGGGGACACTCTAAACTCACATCTTTTGTTACTGCCTTGAGGAATGAGCTGTAACACTCCTTGAGTGCTAGTTTGATACTGCTGTCTACTCTGCAGATGCTTGTCCAGAGCAGTGACCAGAACTGGAATCACTGGCCTCCATACCTTGCACTAAAAGCCCAAACGTTTTAGCTCAGTGTGCTATCCCTTGATGATACATTTCCCAGTGAGCTGTGTTACTTCTGCATGCAGAGCTACAGGAACTAACTTTTAAAATAGGGCAGTAGTCACTCTGATCTCTGTATCTAATTTGTCCCATTTAATCCTCATAAGTCAGGTTATTAGTTACACAATTTGCCAGCTCACATTCCCTACAAACAAAGTAAATGAAACTATTAGGTGTTACTACAAGGGCAGGATTAGCAACTGAAAGCTTCCCTGCAAATTGCTATCTAATAATTTATGACAGTTTTGATATTTCCTGGCAACTGAACAGATTAATAAGTCCATAGTCCACCTCTGATATTTCCTTTCCCCCTATCACAAACTTTTGGACCTTGCAATGTTTATTTTCACTTTGGTGAAATTCACTGTGGCTGAGTCAGTCCTGGACTGGCAGTGGTGCACCAGTTATAGCCCAGGAAAGATTTTACCCTAGAGTTAGATGAACCCCATGTGTCAGAGTGACACAGCAGTAAGGTGCAGGGAGAGTTCTCCTGCCTGATGTGCTGACAGAGTGAATACACAAGTTCACATTTGGAAAGAATATTCCATATTAACTGCTTTAGTGGCATGAGCTTCCCCTGCTGTACTCTGAAAATGTCTTGAATCAACAAATGATGCCTCGTTAATTTTTCTACCCACAGGATAATCTGGTGACAGACACACCACACTGCAAGACACTGTGCAGTTCAACGAATGTTGTAAATCCCAAATTACACAGGATTATATTTTAGGAAATTGCTTTTTCCTTTTTTCCTCAGAGTTGGTTGAGGCTGAACCTTCTGTTCATTTTGGGTGGGCTTGAGTCTAAGTCCAAATGATACATCTAGCTTTAGCTTTGATAAGGGCAAAATTAAACCCCAGGCTCAATCCTCCAAGTCCTGGCCATGCAGTCCCCAAAGAATGCTTGGTACACAGCTTCTGAACCTCTTGAGCAACCAGAGATATTTACTTTGGAGTCACAAAATAGAAGGACTAAGGATTCTTTTTCGATATTGACATTCAGTGGAAAGGTTACTTATTTTTGACAGTCCTTCAAAACAGATTCCCAACGATTCCCCCATTTCTTCTTCTCTGTGTGTCTCACCCCCGAAGCCTCTGGCTGCAAACACCATTCCTCTTTGCTGCCTGTCAACATGAGCAATTAATGGCTCCAAAGGGTTGCTTTGAATGACCTGTGTAGTCCCACCCACAGGAACTGGCTCCAAGATATCAGTGCCAAGTAGTTTCATGGGAATCCATTGCAGAGCAATAGTTTTACCCAGAGGTCATAATGTTTTGGATAAAATTGTGAATCAGTTTTTAGCTGTGCGCTATGAGCTTCAGGCTACTTTTTAAATTCTCCCCCAAAGCTTACTGTTTTTTACATGAAGAGGCCATATGTCATAATAAACATCAGGCTTAGGAATGGCTCACACTCTAAATGTCAGGCTACAAAGCTACTTTTAAAGATTAAATCTCTGCCCTCTTCAAAAGGGAGGTTGAAGGGAGGGATGAAGAAATCCCAAATACAGAGAACCTTACAAATAAAGCTAAGTTTACTACTAACAAAACATATCTTGCAAAAACAGACTTGGTGCTTTTCAGTTGGAGCTGCCCTCGATAAAATGTGGGTGTCATTTGAAAAGGACATCATTTCCAATGAATTCTGAAAGTGTCACGCAGAGTATTGATCGATCGAGTCTTGCCGTCAGCGTGACCGGGGCCGGCAAAGAGCTATCCCTGTGATCCAATTTTCAGAGCTCACAGACACCTCCAGTCCCAGGCAAATGGCGTCAGCAAGTGGCAGGAGGGGTCTGGGGGAGGGGAGGTGGATGGAAACATGGAGGGGAGAGGTGTTGCACTGCCGTCTGCTTGTCTAAGCATTAAATGTTATTAGCCACAAGCATGGCACCCCCATTGTGTGGGGAGCCTGCTGTATTTCTGGCTTTTGTGTCACCAGCAATGCTGAACCATTTGTACATCAAAAGTAGGTCCTTATCAGCAAGCTATACCCTGATAAGATCACGGTTTTTTTATGATTACATCAGCGTTCAGCCAGTTTCCTGCTTTTGCACAGAGCTGGGCAAGGACGGTGCAGGATCCAAAGCCACTGTTGGCCCAACACAGCTCGAGCACTCAAACCCCCAAGCTGTGGTGGGCTCTGCCTGCTTGCCCGTGTACCACCCCATCAGGGGCTGTGGGAAGCAGGTTTGCCCTGTGCACAACACAGAGCCAGTCTTGGGCTCCACTTTGGGCCCACTGCTTACAGGGGCTCAGGTACCAAACCGACTAATCCTTTAGGAGAGCCTGGAGAGGGAAGTTATTGATGTCCATTATGAAGCTGAGTAACCTCAAAAGGAAACCGTTGTCTCAGCCTGAACGACTCCTGGCATGAATCTGAAAGCACTGGTGAGGTGTGCATGGGGGATGCCCCCTGCCACTGAACAATTAGGGATGTGCCTTGTTTTTTCTCATGTTAAGCCGGGAAAAATATTGTGTGGGATCCTAGCACAACAAATCCTTTGCTGGACTTCCAGGCACCACACATGAGTAAAATAGCAGGAAAGAAAAAAACATGAAACACAGCAATAAAAGGAGAGCTGCCAGGTAAGAGAAATAGGGTGATTTGCTGCTTGTACGAAGCTGGTGGGGAACTGCAGCAGGTGAGGAAAGAAAGATTAAGTGGAATGAGTGAATTACAAACACCTTCTTATTATACATCCAATAACTGTATGCTGACTCACTGTTACTCAATATGTGAAATATTTGCTCCTTCTGTATTGTTTCCTCTTTGTACTAAGTGACACAAAACCTCTTTCATTACTTTTGCAAGGAAATTGCTTCCTTTCCTAAGAATTACTTATATATTAAAATAAAACTAGCCACTGAAATCTTATATTAGTAATTCCTGATATTGAAAAGAGTGTTATTTCTGAAAACAAAATAGAAGTGTTTGACAGAAACTGAGTTTTACTGAGTATATGGATAGCATTTTAAAATAGAAGCTCAAAAGTGTAAACAGTAGTTTAAACTCAACCTACATGGCTTTCATTTTAATTAAAAAAAAAAAAAAAAGCACATCTAATGAGACTTTGCAGATGACTCCAACTCTGACATGGAACTATTTACTCTCAGTGGCACTCTACTTCTCAGGCTTATTTCCAAATCTAGTGTCTAAATCTACAAATATTTCTGATAAATCCAAGGAACTCTCATGTCTGAGTGAGCACAGCAAAGAAAAAACAAGGCTCTGCAACTAATAATTCAAACAATTTAATGCTGAATTTTTTTTCTGTTGTTTCCTATAAATTAAATATTTTACTTTAAAAAGCACCTATGGAACTGAAATGCTCACAAACCACCTGTGCTCTATGGTTTGCACTGCAAATTCACCACACATAATAATTACCAAGGACAGCAGATGCAGTGAAGATACATAGTAAAGTCTGCTACAGGATAAACTGTTTTTGCACAGAGAACATAGCACCTCTTCAAGCCACAAACAAATCAATCAAAGTCAACATCTATTTCCGAGTGATTTGAAAACAGAAAAAAAGTAACTAATTTAATGAATCTTTCATTACAAGTTCTGCACTTTACCACAGACGAACTAAAAAAAAAAAAAAAATAAAAATCTGCAAAACGCACAGTTCTTGAAAAAGACCAAATCCTCCTTACCTTAGAAACAGCTCCTGCCACCTCCTCAGAACTAGGTTAAACTCAAGCAATGTGCTCGGGCCGAAAGACCCCCTTTAAACCTCTGATTATTTTAGGCTGCCTGTACAGGTGTGTGCTTGTCTCCTAACAGCTGCACCTGAACTTTCAGGTGCCTGCCATTTGCCCAACAAGAGCCTGTCCACCCATCATTTATATCTTTGATAAGACATTTGATTGCAGAGATCTGAATTTCTCTTTCTGTTACATGGGTTCTCATAACTGACTGCAGCTGAATTTTGTTTCCAAAAAGTCATGGTGGGAGTGTGCATATTTGAAAAAAAGCCCCAAACTGATATCAGGGCTTAGCAATACACACAAAATCTGTCATGGTCCACTTCATCAAATACAATTTTTTTTTGAACACAACCTGCTCCGTTTCCTAATATAATATCCAAGTGTTCAGTGGGTGAGTACAGAACAAGCTCATGTAAAGTGAAGGACTCCAAAGTTCAGTGCCTACTAAGTTATCACTAAGTGCTGATGTATCTGCTGTTGCTCCAGATGGAAGGGATCAGTATTGAAGTGTCTATGTGGATTGCACTGGCAGTAGGAAAGGGAGAATGCTCAGATGGAAAATTCTGACTTTTCTCATCAGTGGCGGACTCTAGT